GGAAAATATATGGCATAAATATTATTATATGTTCTGTTTTCCAATTTCTTCTATGATTATAAATAAGTAAAGGAAGAAATCTTAAATTTTTCTGATATCCAGACACTCATACACTATGTAGTAGAAGTAGTTGTTTGTTTTTAGTTTCTCTTGACAATTTAATATCTAGATTTCCTGGTAAATAGTTCTATTAATCGTTTTTAAAAAGTAATCTCAGTTGAAGTCCTTCCAAACTGCTTTTGTTAATGAAGTTCTTGCATAGTCAAGTCTCATGCTTCTTAATAATGCATAGTATTTATTAGCTGATTTAATTTGCATTAGGATTGTCCAGGTAGTGTCTTATAAATCAAAAGTTCTTTCAATTAGAAGAATAGTTCTGAACATTAAAAGAATATTCTTAGTTGCGCATAACACAATAACTGATTTCAGACTTTGAAGGGGGGATGCATAGGACAAAGACATAGTTTTTATAAACTGCCAAAAGGTGTGATCTCTCTCGTTCCATTATTAAGTGTTAAAAAGTAGAGGAGAGATAATTAGCATTTCAGATGCAATAACATTTGACATTCTTTTTTCTTTGTTTCTATACTGTATTTACTCTTATGTTCAGACATATTGATGAGAGATTTTTAGTTGAGGAAGTGGTTTGATGTATGAATCATAATTATGAATGTTACGGGCTGAATTGTGCCCTCCACCCCCCCACCCCCCATTTATATGCTAAAGTTCTAATCCCCAGTATCTCAGAATGTGACTATATTTGGAGTTCAGGTGTGTTAACAAAGTAATTAAGATTAAAGTGAGGTCTCATGGAAGGGCCCTAGTCCAGTATGACTAGTGTCCTTATAAGAAGAGATTAGGACACAGACACAGACACACACACAGAGGGAAGACCATGTGAAGACTCAGGGAAAAGATTGCTATCTACAAACCATGCGGAGAAGCCTTATGAGAAACCAACCCTGCCAAAACCTTGATCTTGAACTTGTCGCCTCCAGAATTATGGGAAAGTAAATTTCTGTTGTTTAAGCCACCCAGTCTGTGGTGCTTTGTTATGGCATTTTTAGCAAATAAATACAATTAATAACTTAAAAGAATCTGTAACTAGTTTCAGGATTGCATATTTATTACTTTAAAATAAATTGGCACCAAAAATACACCTATTTTTGTCTTACTTTTCACTTTTGTTGAACTTTATTTTATCCTCAGGGTTTTCAGGCTAGTGATTTATATTTTGATAGTCACAGGGTAGTTTTTCTGAAGATTCTTTTACTCTGTTACTTGATGGTTTGCTAAATGAAATTTGCTGAAGTTCTTTCGAATGTTTTCTGGTTTTCTTCAAAAGTAAAATGATATTTGAAATTTAGACGCATTGGATTATAACATTAGACATGTTTTGGACTTTTTGTCATCAACACCACCTCCTGAGTCTTCAGCAGCTAGTAAAAGTGAGAAAAGCAGTATTATTAGGAGTCAGTGGATATATAGTGTCTCTATTCTAACCCTTATGATATTAGTGTCAACTTAATAGCCTGCATAGTAATTTTAACCTATAGCAAGTACTAAGGGTTGGACCATTTAAAAACTTGAATCATATTCAAGATTGATCCATTTAAAAAAAA